GTTTAATTCAATTCAGTTTTTTAATATAGCACCAAGTCACAGCAAATGTTGTCTCAGGTACGCAAAAAAAAAAAATAAAATAAAATAAAAATCTAAAGAAGCAGCAGATTGTGTTGAATCACTTCATCACAGTCTCCATCCTGAGCAGCACATTGGTGACAGTGGAGAGGAAAGACTCCATTTAACAGGAAGAAACCTCCAGCAGAACCAGAACCAAGACAGGCGGCCATCTGCCTCGACCGGCTGGGTTTGGGGAACAGAAAAGCAACACAGACACAGAAGGACCGGTCCAGGTGCATTTTTTTGTATGTTAGGAGTAATATTTTAAATTCTATTCTGAATTTGACAGGGAGCCAGTGGAGAGAAGCTAAAACTGGAGAAATATAATCTTTTCTTCCAACTCTCATTAAAACTCTAGCAGCAGCATTTTGGATTAACTGAAGACTTCTTAAAGAGTTTTTGGATGTCCAGATAATAAATAATTACAGTAATCCAGTCTAGACATGATAAATGCATGAATCAGTTTTTCCGCATCATTTTTGGACAAGATGTTTCTCATTTTTGTGATATTACGCAGGTGGAAGAAGGCGGTCCTGGTAACATTTTTAATGTGGGGTTAAAAGACATATCCTGATCAAAAACTAGACACCGCATAGTGGTAACATAATGACCCCCGCACGCACAAATGCACCAGAACTTAGAAGTCTTTATTCCTAATAAATGTCATGCTACTAGGTGCATCCAAAAATTGTAGGGGGGCGGGGGGCTTAGACCTGAAGGATAGCCCCTCATCAGAGCTAAACAACCAAAGAAATCTGAAGCTCCTGTGTTTAATAGTTTTTGAGCTATAACCATTCCCCCTTTTCAGATAAATTGGGGGTCCGGGGGGTGGGGGACACTGATTGGTGGACCTGATGGATAGAGCTTCATCAGAGCTAAACAACAAAAGAAATCTGAAGCTCCTTTGTTTAACAGTTTCTGGGTTATAAGCATTTTTTACATGTCCAAACCCCGCTTTTTCAGATAAATTGGGGGTCCGGGGGGTGGGGGGCACTGATTGGTGGGCCTGATGGATAGAACTTCATCAAAGCTAAACAACAAAATAAATCTGAAGCTTCTATGTTGAACAGTTTCAGAGTTAAAAGCGATTTTGCATGTCCTGACACCCCCACTTTGAAAGGAGCCCCCTCCTCAAATATGGGGTCTATTGTAAATCCGTTGGCTGGTGCAGTGTAGGTCAGACTCATCTACAGTCCTGCCAAATTTCATGTTGATCGGTGCAGCCGTTTTTGTGGTACGATTGACCAAAAATCACTGAAAAAATAAATAAATAAAAAATAAATAAACAGTACGAAAACCCAACAGGGTCCGAACTTATGTTTCTGTGCAGGTGCAGACGTTTTAACATTCTTGTGGCAGCGCCCTAGACTAAACTTCAAATTCTCCCTGTTAACTAACCCAAACGTCGAGGCCACGTCCTTAGTGTTCTTTTTTCTTTTAGAAACTAACCCTGGGACAGAGCTCTCGACAGACAGACAGACTAACAGACAGAAGACACCATCTTTGTCTAACAAAGAGAAGCTGTTTTTCCTCCTCAGGAAAATCAGCATTCAGCAGTCAGATCTGACTCAAGTGCTTATGAGCAAATCTTTTGCCTAGGRTCACGATAACTTCAATCCTGACCAAAATAACCAGCTTTGAAGCTCCATTAAGTTTTGCTTTAAAACTTCTGAACTTCTTTTATTTTGAAGAGAAGACCGAATCGGATCTGACTCTCTCCTTCGGACCTAAAGTAGATTTTCAGAGACGCTGAAAAATCAAAACACTGGAAGTTTTACTGGAAGTAAGGAACCTGAACGGTTTCTTGCTAACCTGGGTGAATACTTCCTAAACGCTTAACCRGATGGTCAAGAAACCTCCAGGTAAAAGCTGAACGTTTTGACTAGCGTACTGGAGTTCGGGCTGACGCGACCGAGAGATGCAAGTGTTTGTTCTGGTTTTCTCACATATTGATAAGAAAGCATTAAAGGGGACCTATTATGCGAAATTCACTTTTTTTCAGGTTTTTTTTTACTCAACTTTGAGTATATACTTCTTAAAAAACAGTCCTAGGACCAAAAAAATGCACCCAGGGCTATATTTAACGCATTTTTCATGTATATTAATGACAAGTTTTCAACTTCCTGCAGCCTGTGATGTCACAGGCCGGACTCAGCCCACACCAACCTGAGCCCAACTCATAACCCAAGCAGAGACTCCACCCTCGGCCGGCCAGTGTTTCTCGGGGGACACTTTTGTTTGCAGCACCGCTATGTGCGTTAGCATGCTGAGCAATTTGTTGCAGCAGCGGGTGCCAATTCCGCTGATTATATTGACTGACGTTAAAAAAAACATCCCGTTTTCGCCATTGCTGAATGTACAGTATTAAACACCTCTTCAGTGACGTGCACAGATTAAACACGCAACGTTAATATGGAGACATAGAGACGGCTAGTTAGCTGCTGCTATGTGTAGACTGGACTCTTCACAAACTTCATCTGCAGACGGTGAGTGCTTCATGCCTTTAGTGAGATATTGAACGTAATTTATGGGGCACATGTCTCGTTTGTGAAACTSTACCTTTTATTTATGAAGTTTGTTCCGATGTGTCCTTATTGCAAGTTCGTTTCCGATGCTAACTAGTTAGCAGCTAGCAGSTATTGCTAGTTAGCGATCGAGGCTAAAAGCAACAGCTGAGCTCTACATTTATTGTAAATAGTAATTAATTATGACCATATTCGAGGCTAATCGTTGGTTTTCTGTTCAGAGTCACCTTCGACAAGTGACCAGCTGAGCTCCTGGACCGTTTCTCCACCTTCTCCAACATCGACCGGTACCAGCTGCCTCTCTCTCTCTGTGTCGAGGCAGCCAGAGGCTGGGGCAGCTACAGGGGAGCTGCTTGGAGCTGATTTGGTTACATTCGGACTTTGAAGTACTTTTTTTAGGTGGTTGTGTGGTTTTTAAAATGCAGTTATATGTTGTCTGACTTTTATTTTGTGCAATACAGATACTATCAGCATTACTGTTTGTTTTTCATTGAGTTAAATCCATTAAGGAAAAAAAATCAACTTTACTCACACTCCTAGGCATAAAGTGTGCAGTAACTGCAAGTTCATTAGAAAATCATTTTTGGTTTTGTTTTACTGCACAGACACAGACAGAGGTACAGTAAAAAAAATTCAATAAGGAATGTTTGTACATTTTATTATCAGCTGACCTGTGATGAAAAGAAAAATACAGTCAAACCGGTGTAAATGTTGAAAATACAGAGATATGAAATTTTGGTCATATTGAAAGTTTGTGTAAATAATTTCACCATGAACTACTTTGAAAAAATAGTATTTTCAACTGAAAGGAAACTGAAAGTAACCTTCTGGTGGGGGCGGAGCTAACGTAATCAACAGYTGGGGGAGGGGGTTTCCATAGCAACTCATGCAAGCAGCAGGTTCTGATGAGAGCTCAGAACAGGCAGAACTGAAAAGGTGAAATTTCATTATGAGATTAATTTAGTGAATTAAATCAAATGAATATGTTTTGTAGAGCCCACAGATGGATCCTAACTTGTTCTAGGACCCCCACAATAGGTCTCCTTTAAGGCCAACATCCTCCTTTCTTTCTATCTCTTAAACTTAAACATTGCCATCTAAGTTTAATGTACCTGCACACATCTGGTTTATTAAGACCTTAAACCAGACTGCTGTTTCTGTTAGAGTTGTCGTTTCGACAGTTAATTAGTGTGGACGCGTACAGTTTGTTGTTGATGTTTTAGCTCTCAACAAAATTTGATTGTTCACAATAAGTTATATATAAGTGATTTATTTCAATTCTATAAATAAATTATCTCGTTTATGGCCAGATCAACTTGAATTCACTGACTAAAGTCGGACTTATTTGTGTGGTCTCATGTTTACACAGAAAGGTGGTTTATTTCCTTAAACAGGCCAACCTGTGAATTTCCTTAGAACAGTCGTTATAAGAAGTGTAGGTGTACTAATCACTACATCAGTCAGGTTTTAGATTGAAATTGATGATGCACAAATTTTTATTAATATATGGGGGGAAACTCACCTCCATGCTTCTTGTTCTTATTTGTGTTGTCATCATTGCTGGGGTCCAAAGCATCTTCCAGTTTAAAGTCACTACCAGCTGAAAAGGTTAAAAGATCAAAGGCCACTGTTAATCCAAATATAGAACATGTAAAGTGGAAACATTAGTTTAAACTCACTCCAGCATAAAATAAATGAATTAGTTTCAAAGATCAATGAATGTGAGATAGTGTAGACTAAACAAATGGACTGAATGAACAATATACAACAATTTCTTTTCTGATTTCCACTCTGGAGTATTATAAGCCTCCATTTAATTGTTATCATCAAAAGTAGGAATTGTGGTGATAAAGTTACAGACTGTGGCCATTCTCATCTCTCACCGAGTTTCTATAAGACCTGACAGCATCAATGTGATGATGTTTCATGATGATTCATTCATTAATAAGCAAATTTACACAGAACACATGCAGACTGGAAATCAAGGTATATTTATATGTGCATCAGAGATACATGTGTGAATTTCGTCCAGTGAACATCTGAACCATTCTGTGTACATGTGAATAATGTCCTGTGTTAGAGCTGGGCGATATGATCAAAATTTTATATCARGGTATTTTCAACATTTTCACCAGTTTCACGGTATTTGATGGTATTTTTCTTTTCATCACAGCTCAGCTGATKATAAAACATACAAACCCTGCTTATTGACTTTTTTCTTTTACTGTACCTCTGTCTGTGTCTCTGTTTCCCTCCTCTGTGTCTGTTCTTCTCTGACTGGTGGTTGGAGACAGTAGTCATGCATTTTGTTCCAGTCGTGAAGGAGGAGGGTTAAGAAAAGATTATGATCGGGTTTATTGTTTTATGTTATTTATTAAAGCTTATCAGTACGACTCACCTTGCACACCAGTCAATTCCAACTCCACTACGAACTACTTCCTGCAGGCTTTTCACAATAGAAGCACGTTAAGTCTCCATCAGCATAACGTCTCCATATTAACTAACCACGTTAAATCTAACTGTGCACGTCACTGAAGAGGTGTTTACTACATTCAGCGACGGCAAAAACGGGATGTTTTTTTAAACATCAGTCAATATAAGCAGCGGAATCGCCACCTGCGATTGCAACTAGCTGCTCCAAACATTAGCATGCTAACGCACTTAGCGGTGCAGCAAGGAAAAATGTCCCCCAGGAAACAACAGTTCACTGGCGGCCGCGATGAAACGTTCCACTATTTCAACCGGAATGTCCGGTATTCAGAAAATTCATATCATAACAAAAATTTAAAAAATGGTATTCGGTACAAAACGGTATACCGCCCAGCACTATCCTGTGTAAATGTGAATCATGTATGTGCATTAATGAATATTGACACTCTTGCCCTACCAACAATTCTACCTAATGGTATAATTGTTGAAAATACTACAATGTAAAATTTAGGTCACACTGCCCAGCACTAGAACATGTAGTTTCTTCTTGTGTTTCTTTTTATGAAAAAAGTACAAATGTAAAATACAATCCTAATGTAGAATTAAGGACCTCTCTTCCAACATGATCTCTTGACCCTACTGTCTCTGCTATGCATTGCTCACCCTTTGATTGTCTCCTGTAATGGAAATAATACTTTTAGGTTTAAGCCAGTATTCATGACATARGTTAATGACCTAGGTTTTCACGACATGCTGTTTATCAGTGATTATAGCCAGAACAAGATTTACTAACAACAGTCATTCTTAGATATCACTTGTATTTATCTTTGTGTTTTCCCTTGACCCAGCATTTCCTCAGGATGAAATCTTGCTAAGATGACATAATAGTGTTTGTTAAACAATAAAAATCAGGCCTCAACTGTCACAGAGAGGCAGAAGCACAGAGACAGGGCAGAGAGCAGCGGGACAGTCTGATGTTGTTCTCTGTGTTTCCTGTTGTTGCAATAAAACTCAGCTGATCATTTCCATGGAGTACCTTCATTCTTGGACCASGTATTTCTGTCTTTGTTAAATAAATATTTCCATAACACTCCCAAATGCATTTGATGATTTAATGTAATAGTATTATTTTAATGGTGTGAAATAAATCTCTTAAACTAAGGTGACATCTCCAGAGAGTTTCCTCACCAGCTCGGGAGGTCGGCGTACCTCCACAGGACCTAATGGAGACACATTCGGCCAAAGCCGAACCTAGCTGAACTGCATACAAGCAGTGGACGTTGGGCTTTAACATCTAACTTTGGCTGTCTGTGTCACACAGATCAAGCTCACACAACAGTCTGTTGTGATTKATTATATGAAAAGAAAAAAGAAAAAAACCATTACATACTGGTGACATGATTTAAGTATTATCCAAGCTGAATTGATCACACTGTTTCAACTTAAATATTGATCTGACATGTAATTTTAATAATGTTGACTGTTTTTTTCCTTTTCTTTCATAAGCAGGCATCTACAGATGCCGGTAATAGAGAAAGCTCCTCTCTTGTGGAACCAACTTCCAGTTTCTGTCTGTGAGGCTGACACTCTGTCTACTTTTAAGATTAGACTGAAGACTTTCCTTTTTGATAAATCCTATAGCCTTAGGTTTGCTGAGTTATTCCTTAGTTCTGCTGCTATAGGCTCAGACTGCTGGAGCACAAACTGAGCACATTTCCTCACTCTGCTGTTGTCTTTAGTCTCTCTTCTCTACATGTTTGTTTAATTACTTCCATCAGTAACGTGTTTGTCTCTCTTCCAGAGGAAAATACACATGGACCAGTCTTTCAGTGTTTCTCTGTGTCTCTTTCTTGTCCCCCCAGACTCAGCTTATTAAGGCAGATGGCTGCCTGTCCTGAGCCTGGTTCTGCTGGAGGTTTCTTCCTGTTATAAAGGAGTTTTTCCTCTCCACTGTCACCAATGTGCTGCTCAGGATGGGAGACTGTGACGAAGTGAAGATTCAACACAATCTGCAGGCTTCTTCAGCTGTAAAGCTGGCTGAGGATGTTTTTGACGGGGAGCCATGCTGTCCTTATAGAACCTACTCCCAGCTCTGAAGCGGTACCACTGGACAGTTCTAAGTCAGTCTGGACCCTAAGAGAAACAAGTCCAACAGTAAGCCGCCCCATCTTTMAAGAGACAAACTTGTCTCTAACCTCTGGGTGAGAATATTGCGCTGTACTTTTTAAAGGCATCACAAATATCACAAAGCAGGTCTGGAAACTCAATAGCCTGAGGCATTTTGARATCGCTTCTTATTTGCAGTAAAATTAAATAACTAACTTTTAATCAGACAGGATTCTTAATACCATTCTCTCCAAATTGACAAAAGCTTTTAGGTTTCAACCTGGGTAGGGATGGGTACCGAATTCGATACTTTTAAAGTAGCGACCAAATTCTGTTGGTACTACTGAGAACCTATTCACGTAACATCAAACGGTACCATGTTTCAGTACCTAAATGCGTCATTGCGACCATATTGGTGTAAGAGTGGTGAGTTTTCCATGCTTGTCCTGAACGCAGCATCGTACAAGAGCGTAATGACATCAGCAGCTGCTGGTTCAGTAAACAGAGTTCAGTCTGAACGTAGCTTGAAAACAAGCCTCACAGCTCCTGGAGTAAAATTTACCGAACAGACCTTCCATGGACCTTCATCACATAATTTTTCTAGTGGGGAAATGACATCAATAGAAACACGTGGAGCTGGATTTTAATTTGTACAATAAGACAAAACAGTCTTGTTGTTTTCAACAGTTTCACCTTCAAGAAATTAGTTAAACAACTGATGTTACAATACAAAGAGTTGGAT